ACTATAGTTGAAAAACTTTAAAAAATTATTTTAAAAATGCATTTCTATGTCTTTTCTCCTGTTAATTTTCCTGGTGTCAGTTTATTACAGAGACTCAGCTATTGAACCTAAGAGGGTACAGGGAAAGTCCTTCCTCCCCTACAAGAAGAAAGAAGAATATAATTACATCAATAGATGTAGGCTATTGTCAGCGAGAAAAGAAGAAATGTGTGTACATTTAATATAATAACATTGTTTTCCCCACCCCCCAGGTTTTTATTAAATCCATGGTATGTCCTACAAATATGGATTCTCAGAATCATTGAACTAGCAACTCTTATCCAGCCTGCTTAGGTGCTTGGAATTTCCACCTTTAAGCTCTAGGAAGTTCTGGTTTCAATGGGAATGTTTCTCAAGAAATATGACACAATAACACATTTCAGTCTATTTTTTTTTAAATGAACATAAATTACCAGATCACATTAGCCGATTCCAGAAAACAAGTGCCTGAGAGAATGAAAGAGGAAATCTTTATGGAGATGGGGCGGGGAAAGCAAGGAAGCAGGATTCTGAGCACCCCAAACTGGACTAAGGAAATTGAGGGACAAATTAAGAGAATAGGGGTGCATTGAAGGCAACTTTCACAATGGCCTGCACTATTCCACCTAACAGGAACTAATGTATTCCAGTGAACATCAAGCTTACTGGTAAACCCAGCACTGCATACCAGTTGGTTCCTAATAACACCCATTTCAGATCTTTCGTCATTGTTCATGTTTGATCATTAAAAGCAGCCTCCGCAGAAAGAGAAATGAAACTACTAATTGAATATTTATATTCCTGACGTAAAATAAAATTACTTTGCCAAGTGTTTCAGCCAACTGTTGACAGAAAATTAAACCACAATTCTTGGGGGAATGAATTTTCTGACAAGTTTTAGATTTCAGCGTCCCTTGCTTTCAGGCAGAGTAGGATAATAGGAGCTGTATTTGGCATTAAACCAACTCCTTCCCTTCCAGTGAAGGGTCTTTGTTCCTGTTACAAGTGACTCATTAGTTTACCTCAGTTCAGTCCCTTCACCAAACTGGGTCTTGGTTTCTCCATTCATTCCTGATAACACGGGTAGAAGATCTGGGTAAGGAGTAGCATTTTAGGAGAATTTGGCATTCATATGATGATAAAATCTATGACAAAATTATCCTAATTCTCCTTAAGTTTTAGCCCACAAAGTTTCTATTGTCTTCTCAGAACCAGCCCCTAGAGAAGCCTTAAACGTTCAAACATTACTCTTCAGTAATCCCAAAGCTCAGCCAAGGATCATAAAATTTGAGGCAGGATTCGAAGCTACCCTGCAATAACTGAACTGTCATACTTACATAAGGCTGCTTCCAAATATGTTTAACAGGATTTTCCCTTTCAACAGAGCACAATGCCGGGAAAAGAACAATCGTACAACGGACACAAAATGTTCGATTTTAGTTTGACCCAAGATTGCCATGCTCTGAAATCCCATACACACTCAGAATTACACTGAGGCTGTTCCTTGATTTTAAGGCTCATAAACTGTTGGTCTCCTTCCCAATTGTCATATCTGCCTCTCTTTGATTGGGTTTCTCCTGCCCCCTCCCTGCTATCTTGGGCTGCCCATCTTCTTCATTATGTGGTCTGAGCACACAGGCTGAGGCACAGGCCCACAGACTGCCCAGTTCCAAGAGGTCACCTGTGCTCTTTGCAATGTGGTTCATGATATACGAAAGCTGTCACCATGGTGAAAACAGCACATAACCCAGAAACGCTCCAAAACACTCCACATAACCAGATTTCCTCTTTCCTCTCATGAGTCATGCTTTTCTCTCCTATGTGTCCGATAGATGTTAATAAATATTCCTTCCTCTTTGCAGAATCATGTTCATCTTGGTAAGATCTATTGCAGAAATTAAAGTCCCTTGTAAGCTTTTGGGCACTCTTTATCTCTTTGGCTTCAATGCATTCCACAAATATGCCCGAATTTTCTATCTCCTTTCACACAAGGAATTTCTCCTTCTACCCTTCCCTCCTCTTCTACTCTTTTCTTCTAATCCACCACCAAGAAAATTCTTATTGGTGCTGCCCATGTGTTAAGTATTAGAAAGGCAAAATTATTCAGCCAGAGCCCTGATTTGGAAGGTGGAAAGGACAGTAAAAACTAGGGAAGGCCAAGACTAAGTATGCCTCTTCAGAGAGATCATCATTCCAATAGAAGAATTATGGAAAAATGTGGTTGGAGCAAAATTGAGGGCTACAGACTACTCCTGCATCTGACTGCTATCACCTTGTCACAGTTGCTGGTAGGCAGGATGGCATAGGACCTACCTGGGGACAAGTGGACGTGGCAGATATACGCATGGTCTTTCAGGCTTATTTCTCCCACTATTACATTCCTAGCACAAGTCAGGGATAAACTCCAACCAGAAAAGGGGTCATAGATGCTACAGGAGGAGACGAGGGGCCACAGCCTGAGAGATGAAAGACAGCAGGCAACTTGTTTCACAGGAGCACCAAGGGAGAGCCATCCAAGCCCACAACTGGCCCTGCCTGGGGTCCACGTTTGGCTAAGTGACAGGTGATTGCCATGTGTTTGTGAGGCTGGGGGATCTCAATCTTGTAGAATCTTTCCTGAGAGTAACGGTTTAATAGTTACGACGTAACAGTGTGAACTTTGGAGTAAGACAGGCCCAGTGCCAATCATGGCTCTGCCATTTACTCATTGTGTAGACACTGAGCAAATGACTTAAGCTTTTAAACTTCAAAGCTTTTCAACTGCAAATGGAGTTGTTTTGAGGTTGAAATGGTAGGATGCCGATCCACCTTTGCTGCTTGACACAGTCGCTGCAGGGAAGAAACATCTGCACAGCTTATGTTTCAAGGGACCTGGCATATATGACATATGTTTGCTCCCCCTCTTAGTGCTATGTGCTTTAAACAGGACGACCTCCCCGAGAAAGGTTGTTTCCCCAGGTGAGGATTTTTCCCCAGAGTTAACAGGACTAAGGAAGAGAATAAATCAGTAAATCCCCCAAGTGTTACAGAAATACCATGTACTACTTATGAAGAACTTGGACTAAGACTATTGGCAATAAATTTGGGACTTGTTGGGCCCACATCCCCAGGGGTCTGCCCACCAGGGAAAGCACCAAAGCCTATACCCCTGGAGATCCACCGACACAGGGCAGTCCCAGGGAAGGCAAGCAGCAAGGCTGGGAGGACATAACCTTTACTGGGTAGGAGAATCTCCTTCAGTCACTTCCTTGTAGCATATCAGTAGAGTAGCGACCTTGGAATAGCCCTTATAATGGAACACAGAGATTAACCTAGACAAGATTAAAATCAACAGAACTAGATAGAGACAGGATTTCTGGTAAAAAGTTCAGATAAGAAACTATGAAACAAGGAACTGTAGGTTACCCAAAACATACCATGATGTGATTATAGAGGCATGCTTATAGGATCAAATAGTATAAATATAGATGTAACAGGACAATAAGAAAAAGAACCTCGCTATGCTGATCAACTGAACGCTGCCTCCATGTCCTTCATTCTTCGCCGACTCCGTCCACACCTTTGTGAACCCCTGGACCTGCTGGGGCTGTACCCCAGCAGATGCATTTCAAACACCTAGCCTAGAGACTGGCATGTAGTAAAGATTCAACAAACATTGTTATTATTATTATTACTATTCTTATTATATTACTAGTTTGACTATCCATTGTTTGAGTTTTGGCTGCTAGAAACATTTGTGAATAAGAAGAGAACAAGTACCAGGAGGTTTGGATTTGGAAAAAATTCCAGCCTTCAGTTTCAAAGGACCAGCACTAGCTTTGGGACCTTGGCCACTGCTGACTCTGCTCCGCTTCCCTTTGCCAAAAAAGCGCCCCCACTCCCACCCCCACCCCCCTCCGTCTCTGCAGGTTCTTACCGGAGAAAGAAGCATATTTTCCTAATTTGAAATGTGAGCTACATGGCCTGACAAGTATACTTAAGCCTACAGGGGGACAATGGCGCAGAATATTTCAATCTGGTTCTCCTTTAACCTTTCCAGGAAATGGGCCATGGGGACCAGGCTGCCCTTCCCTCCACAGCTCAGGCATATCCACCGCCCAGGGGGCTGATAACCTATTTCCACGGGACACGCTCTGGATGAAGACAATGGGTGACCACGTTATTTAATAAGCAGTGTTCTCTTCCATTGGCACCTTGGAGTGATGGCCTACAAAGTCTCCCAAAAAGGTCCTAGGGGAACATAGCAAGGGCAGTAATGGACTCGAAGTGATTTCTAAACTGAACTTCTACCTGAATGTGACGCCACCTGGGCACCTGGTGTGCAGAAATGAACAAGGGGAAATCCATCTAGACTGGCCTTGTTCCTGTGAACTTCAAGGTCGCAGGGCCATGGGGCCTGATGTCACCTCAGACCTGCCTCCCTCAGCCTGGGGTCCTGGGCTGGCAGGAAAGCTGGGAGTGGGGAGGAAGGGTGTGACTGCTTCTTTTTCTCGAAATCCCCGCAGGGGCCTAGAATCATGGGCTCCCCTATGAGTTCATCACGTGCACAACCCAAGCTTTCAAACCGGCCCAGAGGCCTGAAGTTCAACGCTGGGTGATTTTTAGGGTTTTCTTTCTTTATTATTTCCCTTCTTGTTCTCCACAGTGGATGATTTTCTGCAGAAAAACGGCTGAGAAAAAGAACCTATTTCATTTCCAGTTCCCATCACAGCGATTTCCACATGGATGTGACGTTGGCCCCAGCTTCCGAAATGCCCAGGTGACTCACCCGGGGACACCCCGAGGCGGGCGGGGCCCCCCAGCGGGCGGGGCGGGGCGGGTGGACGGGGCGGGGCGTCGCACCGCTGGCGCCCCCTGCCGGCCCCCCGCCCGCCGCCGGCTCTCTCCCCGCGCTGCGTCACGTGTCTGGAAAGTCCCTGGGTGGGAAGGTGGAAATCCCCACCGGGCTCCGCGGTTAAACAGAAAGAGAGAACAGAGAACTGGCAGTCTGCAGCCTTTGCCGCGGCCGAGTGCAGGGCGCTCAGAACCCGCGGGGGCGGAGCGGCGAGAGCAGCCCTGGGAGAGCTGCGGCGGCGGGCGCGATCCACACCCCCGGCCAGCCCAGCCAGTGAGCGAGCCCGAGCCCGGCTGTCCGTCCATGGGGTGCCGCCTCCGCCTGGCCCCGACCCTTGCCTGCGGCCTTCGCCTGCCCTGACCTGGACTTGGGACTTCGGGAGAGGATCGCGCGGCCCTGGAGAGGTAACCGCCACGTCTCCGCGCTGTCTGCCCCGGCGTCTTTCCCCGGGCCGGGGCTGTGGGTGCGCATTTGGCAGCGATTCGGGGGCTGGACCCGGTCGACCTGGCGCTGGTTTTGCAGCGGTCCTGGAGGGCAGTGTGTGCCCATGGTAGGGTTTGAAATGCTACGAGTTGAGGTCACCGCGCCAGATGTTGGGGTGACAGCCCTGGATTCCTCCAGCCAGCTGTGCCTTTCAGATTATGCAGAGAACTTAAACTGCAGCTGACTGATGGAGAGTCGCCCCTGAGGCCGCTTGGTTGGGTGGTCGTTGTTGCATTGCTCTTTTTCGTGTCTTTTTTTTTTTTTTTTTTGGAACCAAGGGCTGCATGCCCGTGGCCACGTAGACCTTGCAGAATGCTGCGGCTTCTTCCCAGATTGTGCAGAGGTCAGCTAACCACTCCAGAGAGTTCTGTGCAAGGGAGTCAGTTGGAGGTCGCGAGACGGGTACATCATTTTCAATGGCATCATTGTAAGCCAGGTGTGCATGTAGACGTGGGTCTTTGGCCTGCTTTTGGGGGGCTCCAGTTTAGAAAGATCTGCAGGCCCCTGCCCCAGTCTCTACCCCACAGTCAGACAGTCTTTGTCAACCGGGGTCGTTCTACATCCTGCCACCTGGCCTCTCAGGAAAGCAGTGGTATTAAGTAAGGAAGGAGCTGGGCTCTCTGGGAGACCGCTTTGTTTTCAGTTCTCTCTGCCTTGGAAAGCCGGCCTGGTCAAGTGTCTGGGGCAGCATTTTGGGAGAACCACTGTTCATTCATTGAGCCCTCATGGCCCAGGGTATTGAGCAATCAGTCACGGCTCCTTTCTTGTCATCTAAGGTGCTCCTTTCATTCTTGCAATTCTTTGTACAATTTTTTGAATATTTGGAGGGGTACTTTCCAAAATTTCCATGAGGTATTTGTTGATAAAAGGTGAGATAATAGAAACGTAAAAGAAATGTTAAGGGTAATATTGTGTGTCTTTGCCTATGAGGACAGTATAGTCATAGGTCAGAAAAATGTATTCTTTGATCTTAAGTGTGGAGACGTCCACATACTGGGAACTTGGACAGTGGGTTTTGATTTAAGGGGGCAATTCTGCGGGCTGTGCAAGACTAAACCTATGAATGAGATGGCACTGGGCTAGCCAAGATTGACATTTGCATGTCTTGCATATGGTTTACAGCTCTCACTATTTGCAAGAGCTTTAGATTCAGAAGAAAATAATAGAAGAGTCAGAAAAGCAAAAAGGGGCTCCATCTAGCATGTTTAAAATCATCCTATTGCCTGTCCATTTCCATCCGGAGCAGCAGGCATTGCCATCACAGGTACGATGGTGTGAGAATAGCAAGGGGCAGGTGTTGAAAGACCTGGCTTCTAGGCAAAGTTCTGCCCCTGGGTAGTGTGGGACCTGAGCAGGACCTGTGCTTCTGTTGCGTTCGTTGCAGACTAAGGTGGTCATGTGATTTCAAGAGGGGGAGTAAGGTTGTCTTTGATTTTTAACCCCAGCATCAAGTACAACCTTTAGCAGATGGGCAGACAGTGCTTGTTGAGTGATGGACAGATAAGTAAATGACATCTTAAAAGAGACTTTTGTCATGCCACGAAGGGGAAGTCTTTGTGATGTTTTTGTACCTTTGTTGTGCCTGTAGTCCTGCTATAATGCTGCCCACTTCTACCTGCAGAGAATGGTTGACATCAGAGGACAGATCATTATCTGACCCAGAGAATGACTTCTCCCAGGCCTCATCTGGCAATCAGATTAGGAATTCTGATGCAAAACTACCACCAGAAAACTCCCCAGAAGCAACCTTGGGGTCATCTAATCCAAATCTCTTTTTTTAATGGGCCACAGAATTTAGAAGGCCTTATCAATGGCTTGCTTCCCAGGAGTGGCTTCCTTAATATCTAGGTTTCTTCTCCCTCTTACATTGATTTACTTTCTTTCTCAGCTAGAGGCCTGGCAAATAGTCTGATGCAGGAGTAGGATTCACAATCACTATGAAACTTTCCAGGGAATATCTTCATTCTCTGAAACCATCTTTGTCTTCCTCTTGGAAATTAGAGGCACCCTACTAGGGGCCAGTGAATGAGAGCTAGCTCTCCACGCTGCAAGATCCCACTTGCGTCCCTTCACATCATTGCACACTGTTGGCATGGGTTGTGGATGCTGGGTATTGCCCCCCTCCTCTTTCATAGGTCCTGAGTGGCCACCTGGCTGAAATTTCTTCCCTCGTCCCCTTCCAGCTGTTCATTTCCTTCCACCTGTTGATTAGGTTTGAAGATTTTAGAGTGAAGACAGAGTGGGAAATGCATCTGAGTGTTGGTACCTGGAAGAAGAGAATAGAATTTGGTTGGCAGTTGCATTGAAGTAATTGAGCTCCAGTGTCTGCTCTTGGAAGTGTAGAATTTATTATCCCATTATTGCTATTATTTCATTGCTTATTCTGATGTTTAAAGTTCAGTAATCAGGTTTGGAAAGACTGCTTGTGGATCATTTGCTCTTAAAATTACAAAGCATCTTGCTGGACATAGGCTTTTTTGTTGTTTATACAACATTCAGTTTTAACTCTATAAACATTATAATAAATGTATAAATAAAACTCTTTGTGAATATTTCTCTTTGGGGCTAAAGAGGAAACTCCAGCCTAGGGGAGAGCATAAAATTGCAGGATTTTTCACAAAATATTTACTGTCTTTCCAATACAGGGTTATTCCCCTCCTCCTCCTCCTCCACCTCCTCCTCCTCAGTACCCACTCTCCGCCTTCCTTCTCTTGTTTAGACTAATCTTTAAAAGTGATGTAATTTAAAACAGTCCAGTGTGAGTTAATCTTTGAGGCCAGCTAGTATCCTGGGAGTAGAGGTGACTAAGATCTTTTGCCTACAGATTAGGGTAATGACAAGATCAAACGCTGGGGTTTCCTGCGGGCAGGTATATAGGAATAGTATCAAAGCCGGGCTAACGGAATGGGTTTTTTCCTCCTCTTCAGGTGTTGTGGAAGAACATGATGGCTGAACAACTCCTTCCTCAGGCTTTGTATTTGAGCAATATGCGGAAAGCTGTGAAGATCAGAGAGAGAACTCCAGAAGATATATTTAAACCTACCAATGGAATCATTCATCATTTAAAATCCATGCACCGGTACACGCTGGAAATGTTTAGAACTTGCCAGTTTTGCCCACAATTTCGGGAGATCATCCACAAAGCTCTCATAGACAGAACCATCCAGGCCTCCCTGGAAAGTCAAAAGAAGCTCAACTGGTGTCGAGAAGTCAGAAAACTTGTGGCTTTGAAGACAAATGGTAAGACATGCTTTTGTCTGGTGTGTGTGTGTGTGTGTGTGTGGCTTCCACAGTCCTGGGTCCCCATTCATTACATTTTAATAGCACTAGCCCAAACACAAATCTCTTGAGGGCTTTGACACCTTACTATAGGAACTCTGTGGGGGGCATGTGATGAAAGCAAGCTTGTTTTGTGAATATTTTTATTAAGGATATTTTCTCATTGTGTATATTAGAGAGCAGAGTGCATTAAGGCTTGGGGAATGCATTTCTAAACACCAGGCCCTTGTTAGGTGACTTATGCATCTAATTTTTTGTGACTGTTTAATCATCTGTAAAATTCACCTCCCTGGCCAGTAATGGAAGTATTAAAAGGCTTTCGTTTAAGAGGAAAGCATGGTGTGAAAACTGGTATTACCATTGTTTCCCACTGTCAATAGAGAACGTTTGTGATGATGGTCTTACACTTCTTGGCCTGATGGCCTTTTATGGGTTAACCAATGAATGGCTGTTGAGGGGCTCCTGTTGTCTGCTCTTCCCTTAGCTCAGTTCTGTTGCTTATCGCCCCTTGATATGAACTGGAAAGGCATTTGAGATTTTTAACACTGGTTTTAGACCTCTACTTATTATTTTTAGGGATAGTACTGAATTTCTGACAGTCTGTGCCCATCTGCACAATGGCCCTTTACCATTAGTAGCTGTTTCCTGCTCTGAGCTTTACTGTTTGTTTTTTTTTAATTATTTCCTTTGAGCAAGAGTGTGCACATCCTAGAAACATCCAACCACACTGTTTCATGCAGATACAAAATTCCATTTTATAGATGTAGCTAATTATTACACTAAGCAAGTAAACGACCCAAGATCAATTGAATGCTTATAGTTTAGGTAAGGGCAGGAATCTCAGGTCCTTAGAGCAGTGACAGTCCTAAACCATCCCAATTAAATAATACATTCATCCACGTGCAGAAAATCCTGGTGGACAGTGAGAGGATAAGAACGTTAACTTAAGTGACTTAATTGATACATTAACTTTGGCCACTTTTGACTTGGTAACTTGGTGTAACTGAGGTTGTGGGGGTTTTTTTGCTTTGCTTCTGGAGGGTCTTGTACATCATCTCAGCATCTTGCTTATATTTTTGAAGCATAGATTCTTAGAAACACAGAAAAAAACTGGGATTGCTAGTGTTACCTTCGTTCTTGGCATTAAATCAAGTGATGCATAGAAGTAGGTAATTATGTTAAGTCATCATCAAGGGGTTTATATTCCTGACAGCTTGTGGTTTTAACTCTCTCCCTTTTTTGTACAAAAAAAATGGATGGAGTCAATGTGGGGAGAGTTGGAAACAGAGATTCTGCAAAATTAAAAATGTGGCAGAAAGAGGAAAACCTTAGTTTCATTAACTGACATTTTAGGTTTAACTGGCTCTATTTCCTTAAGAAAATAATGGAATATAAAGAGTACACATTCGTTTGGCAAAGATTTGTCATTTAAATCAATGATGATTCACCCTACAAGAGAACTACAAAAGCCAGTGCATTTTGGTAACATTTTCTGGAAACAGGGATTTTTAGGCTCAGAATCCTTTTATTTTCTAATTTCAAGAAAATGTCTTAAAATTCTGGAAAAGGAAAATATTTAGGGGATGGGGGAAGCAAATGACTTTTCCTCTCTGATTTTTATTAGCACCTTTTAAAAAAAGCCTTTCCCCTTATAGGTGGGTTCTACAAAGTCAATGGTCTGGGGAGGGGGTTACTCACAAGTTTGCATTTGAGGATATGAGACTGTGGTGAATGAGGAAGGGAGTAGGTGGCATAAAGTTGAAACTTCATGTGAAAAATTCCAGCGTCTATTGGCTGCAGCGATTTCACTTGTATAATGAGTAGCCCTATTCCAGCTCACCCTGACCACACCCACTTGGAAAGTCCAGGGTGCACTTCGCAGTTTAAATGTCTACACACCAGAACAAAAAGTACAATAGCTGTTGCTCAATTGCTAGTCAAATAACTTAGCACTGGGGAATTCCAGATGTTACTTAGGGAATTTCATACTGGTGCATCTCAATAAAGAACTGAAAGTGAGCACAACCAGAAGAAAAAAGGCCTTATCTTTGCTCTAGATTTTGCAAAGGGGAAATTTCAACAGAATGCAGTTGTTGCCACACTTCTGCCAAGACACAAATGATCTTGTTCGTTCATTTGTTTGAATACTTATCTGGTTAGTTTTTCTAAGTGTGTAAATTGAAGGGATACTGGCTGTGGATATGTATTTCAGGGGTGCTGTTGTTGTTGTTTTACAGTTTGACTGTAATCACAATTTGATAAAATGTCAAAGAGCTTTATTGCCCTACTTATACAAAGAAAAGAGTTGAACTTTTCTTTTTAAAAACAATTGTGCACTTTCCAAAGAGATTAAGGAATAAATTTATTTATTTTATTATTATTATTATCAAACAGTCTCCCAAAATGTTTATTATTTGGAGGTTGGGAAAAATGCAGTCTCTTAAATTGTGGATTTTTAGCCTATAAAAGTAACAAATTAATGGAATACAATTAGATCTATTTTTTGCTCAAAATTCTTAAAATGCCAGCCTTAAATTATTATTATTTTCAAAATGTAGGCATCCAAGAACCCTTTAACTTTTCAAAAGGACTGCAATTTCTAACAAGCATGTTCACATGAGGCATTTAAACGGAGATGAAATAATTACCAGTGACAGTAGATGATTGTGTTCTCAATCCCACTTTACAAACCAGGAGAGGAAACTCCCAGGCCCCAAAGCCTACAGTGGAATGGTCAAGTCATTTACCACTGAGTCATAGCCAGACCGTCCCTGTCTAGTGAATGGAGACAAGTGGCTTCCTGGTTGGTGCACGTTGCCCTGGGTCTACTCTGCTAGAGGCAGAAGGCAGTATTGCCAGTGTCTTAGCCAGAACATCAAGGAATATTAGAAAAGGAACAGACTTGAGAGATCATAATCCAATGCCCTCATTTCACAAAGAGGAAAAAGACTCAGAGAGATTACGGGATTTCCCCCCAAGTCACCTAAATGAGTTAGGGCAGAGCTGGGCTGGACAAAGGTCCAGTGATTACCTATCCCTGGGTCCTTTTGCTCCTTTGGTATCAGTCATAAAAAATAAGGATCTCTCCCCCCACCCCCATCATCTGTGAAATGTAATCAACCATTTGCATTCCTGCATGCCCCAGGGGGTCTCCCAGGATAGCAGGAGCGCTCCTTTATTCTGAGATGCTTCGCTGGGTTTGTATGTGGATTGCTTGATTTGCTTCTCTTATGTCCTCAGGTGATGGAAACTGCCTCATGCATGCTGCTTCTCAGTACATGTGGGGTGTTCAGGACACGGACTTGGTCCTGAGGAAGGCACTCTTCAGCACTCTCAAGGAGACAGACACACGCAACTTTAAATTCCGCTGGCAGCTGGAGTCTCTGAAATCTCAGGAGTTTGTGGAAACGGGGCTTTGCTACGACACCCGGGTATGTTTGGTTCCCCCACTCAGCATCCATTGCCAGGACTCCCTGGTGGGGGAAAGAGTACCTTAGGGCAGCCCCTGCTCTGAGAAGCATATGATTTACTAGGTCACATGAGCTTGACTAAGCAAAACGTCGTCCATGGAAACCTCCTGTGGGTGAACTGAGGATTTTGTCACCGTTGGGATACTCCAGGGCAGCAGATTCCCAGCTGTGCGTCTTTTCACTTTAGCTTGATCATTCTGATCGCTGGCCTTCCTGGTGGCATGGCCTTCCCGGTGGCATGGTGGTTGTTTTTCAGTTTGATTGTCCTTTGCATGCTTTGCTGAGCCCGCCAGTCAAACTCAGACCTCGCCATTCTCAGTCACAAGTTTGGAATTTTTGTGTACATTTGGATGAGGGGCTTCAGTGTTATGCCTCATCAGGGATTTTTTGAAAGCAGGTGCTGTCCCCGTCATCCTCCCCCACTTCTGAGTTTGCCTTGTAATGGAAAATAGTAAGGGAAGAAAACCAAAATGGGGGAAAAGGGTGATCATTTGAATGCTGATTTCCAGAAAGGGGAAAAGCAAGCCGAGTTATATAAATGAATAACCACAGAGTGTGTCAGAATGATTTTTTAATGCAGAGTACATTCAAACATTGTTTCCCTCCTTACCCCTCTCCCTTCAGAATTGGACTGATGAATGGGACAACCTTATCAAAATGGCATCCACCGACACACCAGGGGCCCGAAGTGGCCTTCCGTATAGTTCACTGGAAGAAGTACACATCTTTGTCCTTTGCAACATCCTCAGAAGGCCGATCATCGTCATTTCAGGTGAGTTGCCTACAGGTCGCTTATTTGTATGCAAGTGCTTTTCAGTTTTAATGCTTTTTCTCTTAGGGAAAAAAAAACCTACACTGCCAAAGTTACAGGCAACCGTGGCTAAATGGAATTTGATGAAAGTCACCTGAGGGCCTTATTTTTTCTTTTTCTTTCAACAGACAAAATGCTGAGAAGTTTGGAATCAGGTTCCAATTTCGCTCCTTTGAAGGTGGGCGGAATTTATTTGCCTCTCCACTGGCCCGCCCAGGAATGCTACAGATACCCCATTGTTCTCGGCTACGACAGCCAACACTTTGTACCCCTGGTGACCCTGAAGGACAGTGGGCCTGGTGAGAAACCTGAGCATTCATTCGCATTTGTAACTGCTGGTAGATAGCGGTACACCCTGTTCCCACTGAATGTCAGGGTTTGCTCTTTTGCGCCTTATTGAGTTAGTCTCATGGAAGTGTATTATTCTTATTTAAATACAGTACGCTGTCATTGGCTTGGTTTCCAACAGTAATGCAATAGCAGTAATCATGATACTCCCTTCCCTTTTGTGTATGGCTTCAGAATTACTTTCAGTATGTTAGTTGCAAGTAGGAGATACATGTATATATCTTACTACTATCATTTCTGTTAATAAGTGACCAATGAAGGCACACAGATCCCTTAATCCAGTGCCTGGCATGGAGCCGGTAAATGTCTATCAGGTTAGCTGTTAGTATAATAGCTTAATGTGCACTAGACACTTTGTAAGTGCTTTAGGCATATTACTTTATTTCATTTATCCTCACAGCATGTCTATGGGTTGTAAGCATTGATAGCCTTATTTTACAATTGAGGCACTTGACGCTCAAAGAGGGTAAATAACTTGCCTAATGTCACAGAATTTGATAGTGGCAGAGTTAGGATTCGAACTCAGGCCAGTCTGATTGTGAAGTGTGGGAACTTAAGCAGCCAGATCTGCTGCCTCCACGCTGCTTTATATTCTGTGAGCTTCCTGGAAACAATGCATTTTATATTAGAGTTTAGCGGAGTTTGTTTCCCCATTTGAGTTTTTGGCTTGATAATAGTTTTCCACTCTGTGATTGTGCCCTTTCTGCATTTTCAAATTTTAATCATTATGTGCATAGCCTCAGACATCTCGTTTAGCAGAATTGTATTTGACTTATGTGTTGTTTTTCCCCTCAGAAATCCGAGCCGTTCCACTTGTTAACAGAGAGCGAGGAAGATTTGAAGACTTGAAAGTTCACTTTTTGACAGATCCTGAAAACGAGATGAAGGAGAAGCTTTTGAAAGAGTACTTGATGGTGATAGAAATCCCAGTGCAAGGCTGGGACCATGGCACCACCCACTTGATTAATGCTGCAAAGTAAGCACTTTATCTCTACCTCTAACCTCTGTCCTCTTCAACTGTTTGTCATTCAGCCACGTAAGCTGCTGCCGCCCCAAAGCTCAACAGTAATGTTTCTGAATGCAGTTTGCTCCAGTGTGAAACAAACTCAGAGGCTTGCCCGAGTCTGAGAGGCTCCCCCGAGGCATTACTAACTGGTTTCAAATGAGAACAAGAAATTTACCTCTAGTGATTTTCCTACGCATGTGGATGCTGAGAGTCAGAATTGTGGCTTTTAAAAAAGTTTGTTTACATCACGGATACTTGTTTTTCTTCATTTCTCTAGTACTAGACAAGTGAAAATTCTTAGAAACAAGAGCCTTTTTTTTCTTGGCTTCTTGGTAAGGACAGACACACCAGACTCAGACTGAGTAGTCGAATGTGTTTGTGTAGCAGCCACGTGATTTCACCACAAGGAAAAGGGAGGAGACACTCCGAGTGCACACGGTACAGGTATCTAAATGCCAAACACTGGCTTTATCTCCAAGCGGTGCCTATTTCTTAGAACTGAAATGCACAAGAGTTGACCTCCAATGACCCAAGAGAATGTGTTTCCCAAAGTGGAGAGTAACAAATTACAGAGAGTCGTAAATAACGCCGAGGGGTTTGTCTGCCTCTGGGTACTGCTCATGGCCATCCATTGTAGCAGAGACCAGGCACTAGTTTAAAATTAATAGCAGCAAAGTACAGAACACAAAGTGCCCAAGTCATTTGTATCATAAAGTAGACTAGTCCCAAAAGAACACCTGAGTAATCGTTTACTAGAAATTTGGTCTCTGAGATGTTAGAAAGTAAAAGTGACTTTTTAGAAGAGGCATAGAGCCATTAAGGTGTAGCGGCAGCCCTGGAGTAGTCCTTTCTTTAGAGTTATCCACAATTCTGGATACATTGACTTAAGAAGACGGTGATTCCTGAAATCATGAAGTACTGGACTGTGTAATGTTGGACGGTGTAACGTGCAAAGTCTTCACGATAGGCTTGCATCTCAATGACTGGTTCTAGAATCCACATTCTAAGTTTGCTCTGGTGAACTATTGCCATACAATTGTGTGTGTGTGTCTGCATGTGTATGAAGTCTCATATCTTTCCTTTTGGTCTTTAGGTTGGATGAAGCTAACTTACCAAAGGAAATAAATCTGGTCGATGATTACTTTGAACTTGTCCAGCACGAGTACAAGAAGTGGCAGGAGAACACGGAGCAGGGGCGGAGAGAGCTGCACGCCCAGCACGCTTTGGAGCCTTCCATGCCCCAACTTTCTCTCATGGATGTAAAATGTGAAACACCCAACTGTCCTTTCTTCATGTCCGTGAACACCCAGCCTCTATGCCATGAATGCGCAGAGAGGCGGCAAAAGAACCAGAACAAATCCCCCAAGCTGAACCCCAAGCCAGGCCCGGACGTGGTGCTTGGAGCCTCTCGGGGCGAGGCCTACGAGCCCACGGCCTGGGGCCCTGAGGAGCCAGCTGGGGGGCCTCATTCGGCCCCTCCGACAGCACCCAGCCTCTTCCTGTTCAGCGAGACCACGGCCATGAAGTGCAGGAGCCCCGGCTGCCCTTTCACGCTGAACGTGCAGCACAACGGATTCTGTGAGCGTTGCCACAATGCCCGGCAACTTAATGCAGGCCACACCTCGGACAACACGAGGCATTTAGATCCTGGTAAGTGCCGAGCCTGCCTCCAGGACGTCACCAGGACATTCAATGGGATCTGCAGCACTTGCTTCAAAAGGACTACGGCAGAGCCCGCCTCAAACCTCAGCTCCAGCATCCCTCCTTCCTGTCACCAGAGGTCCAAGTCCGACCCCGCACAGCTCATCCAGAGTCTCTCCCCCCATTCTTGCCACAGAGCTGGGAACGAGGCCCCCTCTGGCTGCTCTTCTCAGGCCACACGCACTCCTGGGGACAGGATGGGGACCAGCAAGTGCAGGAAAGCTGGCTGCATGTATTTTGGGACTCCCGAAAACCAGGGCTTTTGCACGCTGTGTTTCATCGAGTACAGAGAAAATAAACGTGAGTGAAATGCTGGGTCTTCTAACCCCTGTTTTGAAACCCCTACGTAGAAGGGTTTTGTTCTCAAACTTCAAGAAAGGAGGCCCTCTGGGCAGTGGGGTAGAATGTTACACAGAGGGACAGTCACACTGGCTCTGCCAGCCACACACTGAAGCAAAGGGCACGGAACACCGTGTCCCAAGTGCATCCTGTGGGTAGAGTTTATAGAATTAGTTTTCACAGGTTGTTCAGTGTTGTGTTTATAAGGTAGAGTTTAAACTAGACTTTTCTTGAAACTTTGGTGTAACAGAGGAAACTCAAAATCTGAAGAGTAGCAGCTGGAGATAGGGATGTCTCTGCTGACATTGTAAGAAACCATCTACAGTTTTAGAAATCTCTAATTACTAGTAGAAAGAAGGATGGGCACTGGATGTGTCCCTGTTCTGTTACTGTGCCTGACCAGTGGGCAGGTGCCAAGTGAGAGATTTGTAAAGTCAACGATGTTTCAATGACAGCGTTATCACTTTGTAAAAAGTTTGTCGAATTTATAGAAGGCTGCTCTTGTATAAATATCGGAGTCTGGCCTAATCTGTATTTGGAGCCTGTTTCTTTCGCTCAAGTCATCGTTTCTCACTGCTTGGTGGCCCATATGTGGTACTAACGGGTATCAACTCTCTTCCAGATTTTGTTGCTGCCTCGGGGAAAGCAAGTCCCACAGGCTCCAGGTTCCAGAATGCAGCCCCCTGCCTGGGGCGGGAATGCGGCACCCTCGGAAGCACCGTGTTTGAAGGATACTGTCAGAAGTGTTTCATTGAAGCTCAAAATCAGAGATTTCATGAAGCAAAAAGGACTGAAGAGCAGCTGGTAAGACATTTTGAGAGATACCCTTCTCATTTAGCTGGAGCAACCACTATGATTTACATGGCCTACGTATACCTTAGAATTCATTTCAAAAAACAAGTAAGATTAGCCATAGAATAAAACCTCTTAACACCTCCCAAAGCCAGGTGGCTGTCAGAGAGCTCTTGGAGTTATAGTAGAAACACAAACACCTAAGTGGTCAGCAGATTTTCTGAAATAATCCTTTACCAAGAGGAGACGGGAGGAGGCAGAGCACCCAGGTGCCTCCTGGGTGGCATATGAGAAAAGCAAACTTTGACTGATAGATGCTTCTCCTGCTGTTTACAGAACGGTAGGAATCTGTCTAAATAAGCAATGGCAGTTGATTTGGTCTAAACAGCAGCCAACTGGCCAGCATTTGCGGGCCTCGGGTTAGGATTGGGGGTTCCATCAGCATCCCGGGGCCCGGTCTGCTTTGGTGGGGCTGAGGGGAAAGTGCTGGGAGGGCTCCTCTCACAGGCTGCATGTGGACCTCTGCCTCATCGCTCAGGCAGATGCTCTTCACCCCCAGAGCCTGGTCGCATCACACTGTCCTCTAAGACCCCTGGTCTCTCCCTGAGAAGTGTGACCCACAGTTCCCTCTGCTCTTCCCCCCCAGAGAACGAGCCAGCGCCGAGACGTGCCTCGAACCACACAGAGTGCCTCCAGGCCCAAGTGTGCCCGGGCCTCCTGCAAGAACATCCTGGCCTGTCGCAACGAGGAACTCTGCATGGAGTGCCAGCACCTCGGCCAGCGGGTGGGCCGGGGTGAGCCCGTTCCCGAAGAGCCCCCCAAACAGCGCTGCCGGGCCCCTGCCTGCGATCACTTTGGCAACGCCAAGTGCAATGGCTACTGTAACGAGTGCTTTCAGTTCAAGCAGATGTACAGCTAAGGCGAACAGGTGAGCCCCCGCCGTTAGCCAACATGGTGCTATCCTCTAAACACTCCGGTGCCACTGGAGTCGGTCCGCGCCTCAGAGGCTCAAGGCTGCCTTTGAGCAGGAGAGGAAAGATAAGCTCTTGGTCATGGCCCTGAATTTGGTAACCAAGGAACAGTCCCAGGTGGCCTTGGAGCAGATGGTGTCGGATTCCGTCTGGGGCTCCTCCTCCTCTCCTACAAGCAGAGGCTAGGAACTTGACGGACTTGGAATGCGTGCCAGGACTGCTTTGTCATCTTTCAAGAAAAGAGACAAGACACGGTCAGAGCCACTCCACCTGCCTCCATCGGCACTGCTCAGAGGTGGGGGCTGAGTCCTCCCCGCCCACAGGCCTCTGTGAGAAGGTTGGGAAGCTCAGGGAAAACGGACATCTCCAGTGTCAGTAGTTGGTGGCTTTTCCCTCCCTGCCTCACTCCTTTCTCTCGGACTGTGATTCTGAGGCTGCTGAGACGAAGTTCATACTGCAAAGCATTCAGCTGCTCTTTACAATATGCACCTTGTAAAAATCAGAATATCTTAGTGGGAAGACGTGTGCCTCTGGGTTATCACGGTCTTCGCTTCTAGACAGGCTATCTTGAACTGAGGTGTGTATAATAATGTGGACATGTAATGCACCCTTGTGTATGAGGGATTTTTTTTTTATTGTGTTGAAATGCTGCCCTGGAATAAGAAGACTAAACAATAATAACCTATTTTCTGGTTGTTGTTGGGCCACCGCATGTACGTACAGCTTTCATGAACTCAACCCGCTGCCTTGTCAAAGGCCCTATGTCTGGAGTTTACTTTATTTATTTTATTGCAAACTTTAAGGTTATTTAAATGAAGTTGTCTCTTCTGCTCTGGGGAAAATGCCCCACTGTCTCCTGAAATAACATATTTGCTGTGGGTCATGTTCTGGAGCCAGGCAAGTTCCTGACTGCAGCAGGGGAGTTGGCCGCTCTGATGCACTTCCGTTGTCTTCCTGAGGAAAGAAGGAATTGCATCAGTAGTCAATTTATTAAAATCTCATGCTTCTTCTTCATGAAACTTTTGCCAGAGCCACTTCCCAGCCACAATATAGAATTGTCTCTGACTATTCTACCTCCTTAGAGATAAGTTTGGAAAGAAACAGGGATGAGATTGGAGAAGGTCACAGGGAAGACATGGCCTTGAGTGATGGTTTTACTTGCTGTGTGAATGCCTTCCCGGGGCACAGGGCAGTGACCTCCTGTCTGTGAGTATGAGGAACTGTCTATCCTCAGCCTGTGGTTTCTATATGTGCTTTTGTGTCACTGTCATACTTGTTCTAGAAAAAATGGCAGGGGAAACACATTGTCCCCAGAGTTAAAGGCGCCATTTTTTTTTTGGTCTGGACTAGTGCTCCATAGTCCTCAGTGTTTTCATCTATTCCTTTTAAGGTTGATATATTAATATTTTGTGTATTGATATTCTCATTCTTAATGTGAAAACATGAAATTATTTATACTTGTTATAAAAACATTTGCACATTTAGTTGTTTAAGTAGATTTCTGTTTACTCTGTTGGGTTTATTAAAAGTTTCCTAAATAATTGTAACTTTTCACAAATGTCAATATTAAAAGATAAATTATTTAAGAGTGAATTTTGATGTTTTCTGTTTATATATGATGAAAGGAAAAGGCCCAAATATTAAGACCACACTTCCCAAAAATCTTTATTTCAAGGAATACCTGGGCAGGGGATACATCTCTCACTCATGCATAATAAGAGAACTTTGCAAAAATAATAACTGTGTGAGGGCAAGACATCCGGTTTACCAGAGGACTCCAGGGCCCGGATGAGAGTGGGAAAGGCCTGCCAGTGCCAGTTCCCAGGAGGTGCTAGGGCCCTGTGCTCCTCCAAGGGTTCCTGCTCTAAGCCTTAATAATGTGCAGAAAGAGAAACCCAGAGGGAGGAGCAGAGAGACAGGAAGGAAAGAGAAAGAGGAGGAGAGGAAGGAAAACTGGTGTAGATTTCCTGGGTCAGACCTTGGAAGAGATGACTTGTGGCTGTGATGGCAGCATCCGTGTCCTGGGCAATTATAAAAGGATACATTCTTCTACCTAAGGCAAACGTACCCATAGAGGGTTGATTCAGGAGGACTGGACAGCTCCTGGACCCTTCCTTTTTTGGGGCGGGGAGGGGGTTAATTTACAAGAAAGTGGAGTATAATGAAGCCCCATATATCCATCATCCAGTTTCAACAATTGTCAACATGTTGCCAAATGTGTTTCATCTCTCACCCCCTCTTTTTTCTGGATTATTTCAAAGCAAATCCCAGATATTGTGTCCTCACACCCACAAACACATCTGCGTCATCATTAATTGAAGAATATGTTCTACTTATATAACCACCATTATTACAGCTAGCTAAATTACTTTCAGTATCATTCAGGACATACGAGTGTATTCTAATCTCTCAGATTGTCCACTCCACAAATAGCCTATTGCATTTGGTTGCTACCATGTCTTAAGTCTCTTTTATCCTGTAGCAGTCCCTTTTAATTTTTCATGCTATTCATCGGTTAGGGCAACTAGGTCATTTGTTCTGTAGAATAGCCCACATTCTGAATTTGGCCGATTGCTTTCTTATGGTGTCATTCTACTTGTTTTTCTACACATCTTACTAGGTTCTGGTTCAATCAGAACCATTATTTGTAGGTGACACTGTGTATGACATTGCAACCCATCCTGTGTGAGCTGTCTGAATTCACACCCTGAGGAATCACAAAGCTTCAGGTTGGCCTCTTTTTCTCCATTCTCCCTAGCTCTCACCCAGCATTAAAATTGCAATTCTTCAAGCAGCATGATGGACATAAGCATTTGACCATAAGTCATCAGGATTTCTAAAAAAAGGAAGTGAGTTATATTTAGCAAATGATCTCTGACTCAGATGAATGGCTCCTAGACAGGGAACTAGGGCAGGTTTAGAGCCAATTAGGGCAGGGTTTCAATCTGGAGTCCTGCATGGACTTGTGGGGGTTGGCGACCCTATAAAGCACATGCACAATTTTATGTTGGGGTATGTACATCATTTTTATGAAGTGGGGACAATCAGTAGCTTTCTTCAGAGTCTCAAAGAAATTGATGACTTCCCAAAAAGCAAGGAACCTAGACATAAGAGGACTGAAAAATAAGACTTGGAAAGAATTGGCTTTGTTTCAGTTTGTGTAGATTTTTACTTCCAAAACTGTGGACTGTCACCTTTATACCACACAGGGTGAAAGCTCAAAATCACCCAAAATTGAACTCATGATATTTTATCCCTGTCCTCTTCTTTCCGTGCTCTGGGAAGGGTATTATCTCATCTTTCTCCCCACCTCTAGATGTCTTCCCCACTCCTACCACATCCAAACTTCCATGACGTGTATCTACAAAATGTCCCTCACATCCATTCCTTCTCCTCTCTCCTCCTGCTGCTCTAGCTTGGATCCTTTTTTCCACTAGTCTTCCCTTTCTAGCCTACTCTTTCTCTGTAACTTTGCTAGTCACCTATGCCTGTAGATCATAGACCTGGTGAGGCTTCTCCTCTAATTAAAACTTTCTAATGGCTTCTACTGCTCCCAAAGCTTGATGCATGTAGCTAGGAGATGCAAGAAGAAAATAGGGAGTTCCTGAGTTCATTTACCTAACTTTTTAAAATATATTTTTATTGATTTCAGAGAGTAAGGGAGAGGGAGAGAGAGATAGGAACATCAATGATGAGAGAGAATCATTGATTGGCTGCCTCCTGCATGCCTCCCCACTGGGGATCGAGCCTGCAACCTGGGCATGTGCCCTGACCAGGAATTGAACCACAACCTCCTGGTTCACAGGTCGATGCTCAACCACTGAGCCAGGCAAAATGTTGTTTTTAAATATATATATATATATATATATATATATATATATATATATATATATATGTTTTTATTGATTTGGAGAGGGCACCCTAACTGTGGATTTGAAGCCTGAGTATGTTCCCCAACCTGGAATCAAACCTTTTGGTGTATGGATGATGCTAAACAACTGAGCTACACTGGCCAAGACTCAAAAATGTTTGTAAAGATGATATGAGAGCAAAAGCCTTTGGAGTCCAATTTTCAACACGTATGCAATGCTCTTTACAATTCTAACCAACTTAAGTCTTCATTCATGTCTCCTGCCACTATATTATCTCTACCTCATGGCCTTCTAGACTCTCTTCTGCACTTTTCTGCACCCTCTAGAATAGGACATTGTTTTAGTTTCAGGAACACTTTATACTCTTAAAAATTGCTAAGGACTCCAGAGAGCTTTTGTTTATGCGTATTATACCTATTTGTATCTAGCATCTTAGAAATTAAAAGTAAAAAATCTTCAAAACACAGAACACACAGCAAACATCCCATTAGCTTCCAGAATGATGACATGACATCATTCTATGTCACAGAGCCACGGGAAAACCCCCTGTACATGCAGGAGAGACTGAAAGCAAGAAAGGCAAATAACATGTTAGTGTTGTTATGAACATATTTTTGACCTTGTGGAGTCCCAGACTTCTCCAGACCACACTTTAAGAATCACAGACAATAGTACGGTGAAAGCCTGTGGTGGGGACAGGGAGGGCTGGGAGAGGTCAATGGCGGGGAGAGGGGGACATATGTAATACTTTCAACAATAAAGATGAAAAAAAGAATCTCTACTCTAAAACAATGGTTCTAACCAAGGGTGCCCATCACCACACCAGTAACTAACATCTGTGCCTGTGTGTGCCCTGCCTCCAGCCAGCATTTCAGTGTGTATTGTAGATCAGGGGCCTGGGGAGATTCGATTGCACCCAGGCCTGGCTGAGAAGATCTTCTCTAAACATCGACTCTATGCTTTTTCACTGTGTCCCTACTAGTAAAACTTTTCTGAGCATGTACTCTTATTATATGTATGTTTATTTCTTTATAAATTATATACATATATTACTATATCAATGTGTCCTATGCTTTATAAAACACTCAAAATTAAGAGAGAAAAACTAAATAAAGGAAATTCCACCATTTTCCTGCCATGCCCCAGTGAGTTCTCTGCACACACTTTAGAGACAGATGCTGGAGACCAGTCTGCAATGTCTCTACCATTTTGCCTTTTCTCAGAAATTCTTCTGGATGCCCTTTCTGCTTCCAATCTCCTCTCTTCTCTTCTCCCCAGAATCTGACAGAGTTCCTGCCTTCTGTTCTGCATTCTCCCAGATGTCATGGAAAGAACTTGGTATTTTGTAAAAGAAATAATTACAGGTTCCAACCCGGGCCCCATTGCCTGTTCATTATTCAGACTTGAGCAAGTTGCCTCATGTCTCTGAGTCTCAGGTTCCTCATCTGTAAAATGCTCATTTAATGTTTTTAAAAATATATTGGGGAACTTCTCCCTCTCATCCTTCCAGAAAGTGTTCTTTCCTATTAATAACCAAATTAATGGTTCTAAACCCTGGGGACATATTAGAATCACCCAGAGGGCTTTCAAACAGAACCAGTGGCCAGAGATTCCCTGAAGCACTGAAGAGAAAGAGAACACAATTACGGCACGCACCTGGGGCACTTGAAGAGGGCAGGTGCCTTCTGTAGGTGACTAGCTTGTCATCTGTACTCCCACGAGGTGGCATTTATTGTGAGTCTTCTTTGGCATAAAAGCTCCATCTTCCAGAGGCAATATCATATGGACCAAGATCAGAGATATGCTACTGTATTGAAAATTTACATGAGAACAACTTACAAGAGGTACAAACATTCGCACCCTTTGGTCAGTGTGCCAACCTCCTCAGAGGCTCACTCTCCAGGAATCCCTATTATCAGGGTACCTGGTGAGCCTGGAATCTGACGGGGAGCTAGTGACTGGCTTCATGTGATGGACACATTTTTCTGCATATTGGGATAAGCCTGCCCCCAGGTTCCAACAGATGGAGACTTCGTTCTTTATTCAGCAGGAGTACTCCAGAATGCTGTCCCCCGCATGTGGTGCTTGGATGGACCATGAATGTCTTTGAGACTCTGCCCGGTCTTTATGTCATCATCCCTACCTTCTGATTGGCCCACTTTCCTGTAATCATGTCAATATCTTCAATTAGGCCACAGACTGCCTCTTCTGGTGACTTAGTTCTTTTCTGAGCTAGTTTATTATTTAAATCCCAGAGGAAAATTCTATTTCTAAGCTACAACCCCCTCCAGTTATTACCTAAGAACCATGAGTTCAAAGATAGGAATTTGGTAAATTCTTAGAGTTTGTTAGGAGGTTTGATATAGCATTGTCAAATATTACTATAATATTTATTATACTTAAAAAATGACATTCAGCTGTCAGACTACACAAGAATAAAAATAAGAGAAGATATTATTTACAGCACGGGGAATCATAGCCAGCACAAGCATGAATTCCTTAATATTAAGAAACCTGGGACCCTGAAAGGTCTACTGAAAGGAGTGGAATAAATCCTTCTGTCACTGTCCTCCCCCTCCAAGATCCCTCTCCCCTCACCTCCTTTAAAGCACTACGCATCTATTTATCTGGACATTCTCATGTCTTTCAGTCCTATGAATCAGTGAAACT